TGGGGGTACAAAAGTGTCCCTGCTTTCCTCTCTACTCTTTATTCATAGGGTAAATTTTGGCCCAAAAGGGTCTCCCATTTAATGAATTGCCTTGATTGTCCATGGAAGCAAATGGATTTTGTCTACAGCTCTAGATCATAGTCGCCAGATTCTCTACAGCAAACTACAGATTGATGAATTGATGCTTGATTCACTGCAAATCAGTTTACTGAAAATCAAGCAATTTATAGTATTACACCATTAATCTACTCTTCAAGCAGTTCATGTGATGGGCCTGGTAGGCCTGGTTTGTCTGGGGCCTTCAGTCACAAGAAATTAAATATAAACGTACATTTTCGTGCATATAAGTAGAGGTGCAAGTGCAGGTGCAGCTTGTGTCGAGTTTCTAAAAAGTAATAAAAAATAAAAATAAAACTTGCGTCGAATTGGGTTGGGAATTTGTCAAATTTATTAATGGGCCCAATATTAACTCCGAGCCCCATGTAATTCAAGCCCAGATAACACCATACAAATCGAGAACACCCCTAAATAAAGTAATTCTGAATCAAATATTGGCACTTGCATTCAAGTATTCAATCTACGAATCATGAATTGTGAACCAAACATAACTTGAATCATACTACCAACTCAGAAGTTATGACTACAAAATCCTTATTAGCCGTTTCCGGTTCAGATCTATAAATCCTCATTGACTTCAGCCAAGTCAACGGTTGAATCGTGGCTACGTCTCCAGTTTTTTTTCGCCATTTTCATATAGTAGCAAATGTGCGTGGTAATTTTAGATGATGCCATGGTGGTTATAATAGTAAAAATATATTTTTAATTTTTTTACAATTTTTATATTTTTATATATATAAAAATAATTCTTATATATCAAATTTACTTTTATTTAGATGTGCCTAAATATTTTCTACAAAATTTATGTATTTTTCATGTTTTTATATTTTTTAAATTTTATTATTTAATTATGACATCAAATTTTGACACATTTGAGGTGAAATGTTGAATTGTTTAGCTGCCACTGGATAGGAAATAATTTCACTTTTGGGTTAGTTTTAAATTTTATATTTTATTTCTATCATAGAAAAACAATCCTTGTTTATCATACTTATTTTTCTTTAATATGATAAATATAATATATCAAAGATGTGTCCAAATTTTTTCTATAAAATTTATGTATTTTCATAGTTTTTTATACTTTTATTATTTAATTATGATTTCAAGGATCGACAAATTTGGCCCAAAAGGTTGAATAGTTGGCCTACCACCAAACAGGAAAACAATTTCATGTTTGGGTTAGCTTTAAATTTTATATTTAATTTCACTCACCAATAAAAGCAATCTTTGTTTATCACACTTATTTTTTTTAATATGAACAATATAAAATAGGGTAAATTTCTTAAACTACCCCTAGGGTTTAGGAAATTGACTATCTCTACCCCTACTATTTCAGTATTGTTTTAAAGTACCCCTACTGTTTTGGACAATTGACTAGCTCTACCTTTATCATTAGCATCCGTTAATATTCTATCAAAGCTCGTACACAAATGACTAGCTCTACTCAATTCTAAGATGCCCTTTATCTTATCTAATCTGAATCTCAGTTCATTGTAACCAGAAGCTCATCGGAGCTAAGTTTTTTCTTTGGAAAAATCAAAGGGATCAACGAAATTGTTGAGTTTCGATTTGATGAGGGATGCAAATGGCCATGGAACTCACACGACTTCGACTACTGCAAGTAGACACACATTCAAGACGAGCATGGTCGGACGGTTACCAAATCCATCGCTGCAACTTGCAGTAGCGGTGGCGAAACATGGGAAGTGAAAGAGGATGGTGGAGAGAAAGAGAGAGAAGGAGAGAGATAGAGGGAATGAGAGAACTCTGGCTATTACCAAATCCGCCATTGCAAGTTGCAACGACAGTGGTGGAATAGGGGAAGTGAAAGAGGAGGGGAGAGAGAAAGAGAGAGGAGAGAATAAGGGAGAGAAAAAGATGGATGAAAAATTGAAGGAATGGGAGAAAAACAACAACAAAAAAAAGAAAAATCACAGATTGAAAGCTCAAATCGAATCGTCGTCGTTGGTTTTCTCTATGTGTGTGTGTGTGTGTGGAATGGGAAACCTTCCACTTCAGGCTCCTGTTCTCCGCAGCCACCAAGATCCATTTGACATAGCACAATTGAATGTAGCCAGTATGATCCGATGATTGGGAGGGTGTAGAAAAAGAGCATTAGAGGCCAGATGATTGAGAGAACACGGGTAGGGGTATAGAGTGTCACTAGGAGTGCCCCTGGTTTGACTTGAAACAGATCAATGATCATCTCTTCGTGGAGATGGGTAGCGGTCGTTTGACGGTGAGATTCATGGAGGGGACAGATGATCCTTATGATCTTGCCCAAACCGAGATGATCCTGCCTAGCGGTCAGCGTTGGCTAGCTCTTCCAACTTTTCTAAATGGTGTTAGGCTTGGGAGAACAAAGAGGGGAAGGGGGTGGGTGAAGAAGATCACTGCCACTACTGGAAGTTGCAGCAATGCTGGTGATTTTGATTGATGAAGACTAGACTGGACCTGGGTGGCAAAGACCAGATTGAGGAAGATGAAGAACTAGAGCTTCCCATTTGACTTAAGGGCAAAATGAACAATTCAGCCCTTTCGTCAATATTTTAATGGCAATGGTATTTTTTGAAATAGTAAGGGTAGTATTAGACAATAGTCAAACAGTAGAGGTAAAGTTAGTCAATTTCTTAAACCTTAGGGGTAGTTTAAGAAATTTGCCCTATAAAATATTAGTGAGTTTTTGTATTTTTTTTATATATTTTATATATTTTTTATTTTTATTATTTGATTCTAATATCAAGGTTTGTTACATTAGGCCCAAAAGGTTAAACTGCTTACCCAACACCAAATAGAAAAACAATTTTATTTTTGGATTAAGCTTTAAATTTTATATTTATTTTTCAACATCAATAAAAATAATTATTATTTATCATATTTATTTTTCTTAAACATGATTAACATAAAATATTAGAGATGTGCCCAATTTTTATGATTTTTTTTTTGTAATGTCATGTTGTAATGTGGTTTCAACAATGTCATAGTGGGACCTAGTGGATTGAAACGATCCATGCTTTATTGAGCCACAATACCAAACAACTCCTATATCAATTCTATTTCTAAGTCTTATGCTTGGGTAGGGGCCGACTTTTTTTTTATTGCAAACTGATTAAAACCCAAACCGATTATATAATGATAATATATAAAATTTTTCTAACTTTTAATTTCTTACAACTTGTGTTATATTTTGTCTAAAAGGGTAGATTTTATAAAGAGCATATTTTACCAAAAAAAAGAGAAAAAATATCCTACAAGCATAAATTTTGTACACTTTGAAAACATGTGCATTTAGCTATACAATGGGGTGTTGGAGGATGTGCATAGGGTTTTTGCTTTTAGGAGATTCAGACTCAAAAATATAGAGAGCATATAAGATAATTTTGGTTAAAAATACTTGTTTTTCCAACATACAAAAATTTACTATTTACTATCACTTTTTATAAGTACTTTATTATTAAAAATAAAATTACAAGTTATTATATCATAGTCAGAGCTTGTTTATGGGTTAGGCTCGGGCTTAACTTTTGTCAAAATTTGAATGGGCTTGGCTCAAAGCTTGAGCATGAAATAATACAAAGCCAATCCAAGCCCGGCCCGAAAATAGGTATATTACCTAATTAATTAATTAAGTAATTATAAATGTCAAGTGTAATTGGGACAATGAGGGCGATGTTTGGTACCATTAATGATTCCTTGGATAAGATTTTTCAAAATCCTTGATTTCTCAAAATTAAGGGAAATTATTTGTCTAGGGTCATTGCGTCCATGTCTTACATTTAGTTTGGTAGTATCTACAAGGATGCCACATCATTAAAATAATGGATTAATCTGACAAAGAGGAATAATAAAAAAGTACCATTCATCATTTAGGCGAGTCTGGATCTACTCCTAACATAGCACGCCTCACATTGAATTCACAGCCTGTCGTGGCCACATATTGGGAACATTCTCCATATTTGCATTTATTATTTATGGGGAGATATTCTCAATACAGGGTGGAATGTGGCAGTGAGGTCAGTGTGAGACACACTCTATGACGAGCAGATCTCAATTCCTTTCAGGCTTGATTTTCATAACCGTTTTTAAGCAATTCACTGATTTATCAGAAAATCAACCAACCAACCTATTGATTGGAACCGGTGCTGTTTCTCCAATGCCATTTTTTAAGAAAATGGTGTTGTATGTATATTGTTTTCTTGCGAAAAAAAAAAGTCAGAAAAAACATTTTCTCATACTACGCCTTTCCTGATTTCTAAGTGTAGTCTGAGAAAATGTTTAAAAAAAAAAAGTCCAACCAAACCATGAGTGTTTCATCAAAAAATAGATTTCAGATGTAGCAGTAATGTGGTGCCATTTTTTTTTTTTTCAAAAGAACGGCATTGGTTCCAAAATCCTACCAAACAGGAAAGAGAAAAACGTTTCTTGAATTAATGACATGGTGCCGATTTCTCTGCATCGATACCAAACATCAGTACATTACCAAAGTGGGCCAACCGGCCAACTCTCTCTAATCGGGTTAGACTTGATTATCCCCGTTAATAATTGGTTCCACCCTGTCCCGACCCGACTTGTCCGTTGACAGATAGAGATGCCCTATCCGGTTTTGTAAACAGCGGCCAGCTTTCTTTCTTTTTTCCTCCTAAGCTTATCAAGATTGTGATTCAATGCAGCTACACACATGAGAGGAGAAATTTTTGTCGTTGGATTGGAATCCATTAACATAAGTTAACCAACTTAACCCCCATTTGACACCGTGCTAAGATTCCAAAATAATTGTTTTTCCCGTCACGTTTGGTAGCGCGTCCATTATCGTGTGGTCGAAGCTCGAGATTGGTGATATCTGTGGCCTACGGGAATGGCGCCGTAAGCCAAAAATCCTGGTCCAAATGCGACTAGAGGAAGGTAACAACTACGACTCCACGTCATCAATTTTGCTAATTTACGCTATCCGGGTCCTTCGTTTTTAAGTCCTCTCTCTCTCAATCATCAGTCCAGTCAGGTATTCACGACCCATGGTCTGCTGTGTCTTCTCTCAGCCTCTCACGGTCCTCTTCTGTACAAAGTAACTATTGGTACGCTGTTTTCTTTCTTTTTCTTGTTATTTCCTTTCTGAAATTTTCATTGTTCTGTTTATTTTTGGAAGGAAATCGGGTGTAAAACTGTAAATCTAAAGTAACAACTAGAGGACTTAGGATTTCAGTTGAAGAATGTGAATGCTCATGAATTTTTGCGTTATTCGGTTGCGAATTTGACCGATTTGTTCAATTGATTTTGGCTTTTTGATTATGATTGCTTGTTTGAAATTTGAATTGTCTCATGACGACTTGTCCTGGTTCTGAATTCGTATGATCGCCCGGGAAAGGAGTTTGGGATGGATTTGGTTTAGCTTCTGATGATTAGGTGTGGAAGAGCTGGGTTCCAGGCTGAAGAATATTCAGCTGGCATTTGTGGAACAGAAAAGATGTCATATATGTCCTATAAGGATAACTTGAATCTGGAATACTGAAATGCTATTAGACACTTTTGAGTTTTGTTACAATCAGAGTTCATGACGGTTTTTGGGCCAACGGAGTCACTGTTTGGTTAGAACCTCAAGTTTAGATGGTTATGAAAGAAAGTTTTTAGAATAATTTGAAAAGCGACAACAGCACCGGATATATGGACAGAAGTGTCTGACAGTTAATGGTCATCGGAACAGTATGCGTTTTTGGGATGTAGCTCAATTCAAGTGTTGAAGTAACTTTTGGATGATCAGTTGGTGACAGTTTCTTCCATTTTTACAGGATCCACATTAACATTGAGAATGCATTACTCCCTTCTTCATTAATGCAACAGCAAAATGGAAATTACTGAGGAGATCTTAGATGATATGTAAAACAGGTCCTATGTATTTGTTTATGAACATACATAAATGCAAAGCACATAATTATGCTACTTTTATCCTTTTTGAACTTGATCCCAGGATTGGTGCATTGGTTTCTTTCTGGATGCATTTGATGCCAACATTAAATATTTTCTTTCAGGTTGATCAACTATTATTTTAGAGAGTATGGGAGTAAAGACATGGTTGTTTCAGCTTCTACTTCTATCCTTTGTTCTTTTGAGCACTGTGAACAAGGGGAGTGCAGGGATCACTAGTACTTTTATTCGTTCTGAATGGCCATCTACTGACATTCCTCTTGACAATGAAGTATTTGTAGTTCCAAAGGGTTATAACACACCACAGCAGGTAAACCACAATATTTCTTATGTGTATTGTGTTTATAATGACCAGTTATGTGTAAACCGATATGTAAATTCTGTTAGTAATTTATTTGTATGTATTCATGCATGCAAACTAAAATACTAAAGATAGTTTTCTGCATTTACATCCTTCTCCATGCTTTTCAATGAAGATGCTTTATTTATATTTAGGAAAAGCAATCTTACATGGTAGGGTCCTTTTATTTTCCTTGAAGTTTGCGGGTTTTGTCATTAAACTTGTTCTGATGGTAAAGTTTTTGCTTATCTGCCACTTGGTAACTGTTGCTAAACCCTGTTCAGTACTGGAAGAAAATTTTCCATTATTAACACCTTGCACTGAAAAGTAGATTTTTGGCATGTTTTCATATTATTTAAAAGAGACAAAGAGCAGCTTCTGATTCTTTAGGAAATTGTAATTATTCATGATACATATCATCAATATTCCATTGATATTCAACGTGCTTTTTGATACTAGATGCAAGCATGACTACTTAATGTCTAAAAAAAGATATCTGATTCTTGATTTCCTTCAAATGAGATTTTCTGGTGTAGGTGCATATCACTCAAGGTGACTATGATGGAAAGGCTGTAATTATCTCGTGGGTAACAACTGATGAACCAGGCCCTAGTAAAGTTCAATATGGCACATCAGAGAAGCAATACAGTTATAGTGCTGAGGGAATAATTACAAACTATACGTTTTACAACTATAAATCTGGCTACATTCATCACTGCCTTGTAGATGGCCTTGAGGTAACATTATTATGTAAAGACCTATGTACAGACATACACATTATCATTTAGGCCATCTGCAGATAAAATTGCTGAGTGATTTTTCTATGTATCGAGATTTATATCTAATGATACATTATGCATCTAAACTGGAGTGTTTAGTGGTGAGAAAAAGAAAATACTTACCCACGCAAGGAGTTCTATTGGAAAATTGGTTGTTGAATTCTATGAAAACTTTCTTTTTCTGAATAGAATGTGAAGTTCATGTAGAAAACAAATTAACATAATTGTACTTGCAAACCCTCAATTTTGGATGCTGAGGCTTCTAGCAGAAAATACCAATCATGGGATGGTATTTCTTGCCAAGGCTACAAACCATCTTTCACAACAATATTTGGGACTCAAGAAATGAATGATAAGCCAGAGAGGTAAATCAATATTTCTTTCTTAATAAAATTTTTCTTTTTTATTTTTACCAAAAAAGCAGGGAGGCTAAACTTAGTATTATATTTATTTCTCTACCAAATTAGTATCCTACCAATTTTTAGGCTTTTTAGCCTCTTATGCATTTGTTTTCTAGTTTCATGTATGTAACTTGATGTAATATTCCTGGTATAATTATCTCATGAATAATTTAGATGTGATGTAAATATATAGATTATCAGAAACTGACCAAATTGCTTTCTTGTTTCATAGTATGACACGAAGTACTATTACAAGATTGGAGTGGGTGATTCTTCTCGAGAATTCTGGTTTCAAACACCTCCAAAAATTGATCCAGATGCCCACTATACCTTTGGAATTATAGGTAAGTTGTATATCCTTTCCTACTGGGTTGTTGAGAAAACATTTTGAGACTGCACCTGCCTAAGTAATTGAAACATAAAGCAAGGGAAATGTTGTTAGCATTATTTGTCTCATTTCTTATTGGGTTTACTACATTTCAGGCGATTTGGGCCAAACATATAATTCTCTTTCCACTCTTGAGCATTACATGCAGAGTGGAGGTCAGACTGTCTTATTTGTTGGAGATCTCTCCTATGCTGACAGATATGAATACAATGATGTTGGAATTCGATGGGATTCATGGGGCCGTTTTGTGGAGCGAAGTGCTGCATATCAGCCATGGATTTGGACAGTTGGGAATCATGAAATTGAGTATATGCCTAAAATGGTAAAGTTTATCTTGTGCCACCTTGAATTATTGCATGAATTTTGGTATCTTGTTTTTCAATTTGGTCATTCAAGTCTCCAACCTGTTTTCGTTGTTTCTTATATCTTCTAAGGAAAAATGTAGCAGTTGTCTCAAAGGACCTCTACTCTTCTGTTTTCTACCTTCAAGCCAGACCTCTACTCTTGCTGAATTTATCCATTTGTATGCTAAATGCGAAGTTGAGTTATTTGACTCTAAATATTGCTAGGTTATCATTAATCATGCAGGTAGTCAGGGTCATATGGCTGTTTCATTTAGGAATCTAAATGTTTGAGTTAAAATAAATTTGCAATATATTGAAACATTGAAGTGCATTTTCGACTGAGTGACTGGAAATGACATGTTACCACCAGAATTACACAGTACATCATGAACAAGCCTAAAAAATTACACGATTCCAGGCTAGCAAGGCCTTCCATGAAAGTTCTTTTGAAGAATCTGGAAATTATGATGGAAGGAACCTAGTAAGGGGGTTTTTAGTCATACTTTAGTAATTTTGTAATTTTACTCAAGGGTTCTAGTATTTGAATTCAAAATGATTAATATGTAGTAAAGCTAATTTGTCATTCTGCAATGAATTCTACCTGGCTGGGATTTGGTAGGATATTTTTGGATTTGGGGGCAATGGAATTTGAGGTGGATAGATCAATGAAGGGCATGATCAAGATTCTTAAGACTGATGATAGTATAGTGCAAGTTGGACTTGAGTCACACAAATCATCAAAAAGTCTATGCAAAGTCTTTTAGAACTTTGATTTTTCCTTTCTTAGGGGAACAACATGACATGCTCTAATCTGCTTTATAGACTTTATGTGCAATATCATCAAGAGTGATTCTCATGCTCCAACAACTTGAGGAAACATTTGCAATGATAAATTGTTATATTATTTCCTTTGGTCTTAATTATGTTTCTTGTGACTTTTACTTCTAGAAAGTATCCATACTAAGATATCTTTTTCACATTATAACTTATAAGTGCACAAAGAAAATCAAATATCTAATGTACCAAAAAGAGAAACACACGGATATTGTCCCAACAGCATACTTGTATGATTGGTGCATAGGCAAAAAATGGAATTCCACCGCTCTAACCATTTGGTTATTGCATGCTCTTTCTTTAGATAGTCATGAGAGACAAAAAGTGATTTTGTATAATTCTATGTTCAGAAACATCAAAATTCAACATTTCTCTCAGCTTGTTACATCTTTATCATCTCTACCTATATGTGGTTGGTAGGCCCTTCTTACTTTCTACTTGATAAGCACCCTCTTCCACTTAATAATAATGTTTTACTGGTATTATGTTCATTTTTATTGCATTTCTTACACATGCTATTGTAGCACCTTCCGTGTTAAGAATCCTGTAATATGCAAAACTATGACATTCTACAAGTAAAATTATTTCTGCTGTTAATTTTATTCAATAAATGCTACTATATATTTCTCCATGGTATGGGTTTCATTTTTCTCGAACTGTTCTGACACCATATAATTAATCATAGTTTTTACAGAAGTACCTAATTTCTTTTAAATTTGCGATAATTCCTCTTTATTATAACAAATTTTATTTTTGACAAGTAATTTTATTATAATAAAATTTCCCACCTCCACCCCCATGATCTTGTTGACTTATATTTTCTATATTTATTTAGGGGGAAGTTGTTCCTTTCAAATCATATCTCAATAGATATGCAACACCTTATATGGCCTCCAAAAGCACTGATCCTCTTTGGTATGCAATTCGACGTGCATCTGCTCATATCATTGTTCTGTCCAGTTATTCTCCTTTCGGTAATTTCTGAGTCACTTCTCTGTGTAAACTCAATGCAATTGCATTAATACTGCATAATGAATTATTATTATTATTATTATTATTATTATTATATCCTTATTAAGGTGCTAGTGATTTTGCAGCTTTTAGACCCCCTAAGGTTGTAGTGATTTTATAAGTTCCCTTGTCACATATATCATATTTATATGGTTAATATGGTGTTAGTGATTTCACAGTTTTTAGACTCCTAAGGCTGTAGTGATTTTAGAAGGAACTTCTTTTATATACAAATAATATTTACAGTTCAAAAAAAAGTTTAATGATTTTTGGTTTCATTGATGTGGATTTGATATAATCATATTAAAAGGATAGCATCTAATCTTCTTTCTAAATTTTAAAATACTAATAGAGATATATGTTACTAGGGGAAGAAAGGGGACAAAGTTTACAAGCTGAACCTATGGTTCAAGTTATGAAGCAGTGCCAGAAATATAAATAAAGATGTTGCTACCACTTACTTTGGGATCAGTGAAGATACTACAGCATGCCCAAGATCCAACCACCAAACATCCCTTGGTCAACACTGAACCTCAAAACAACACCTAACAGCCAAAAAACCAACCTACAAGGTCCAACATATGGACAACTGCATTAGAACCAAGAGGCTTTAAAATAAATAGGATTAAAACAGAATATATGTGATGCAAATTTAGTAATAATAGGAGTGCAAATCAGGGTATACTTAGGATTGGAGACTAAGAGATAACTGAATGTTACCTCTTCCATTACCTAGGTTCAATAATTCATAACAGAGGAGAGATTGAGATGGATGTCACCTATAGAATTAGAGCAGGATGGGCAAAATGTAGAGGTCCATCTGGAGTCTTATGTGATAGGCAAATACCACGTTGGCTAAAAGGAAAATTCTATAGAACTTTTGTAAGGTCAGCTATGTTCTATGGAGTAGAGTGTTGGACAGTCAAAAAACATGTCCAGAAAATGAATGACAAAAATGCCAATGCTTAGATGGATGAATTATAGAACTAGAAAGGACAGGGTTAGAAACAAAGAAATGTAGGAGTAGCTCCAATAGGAGATAAATGAGAGAAAGTAGACTGAGATGGTTTGCTCACATTCATGGATGACCATCTACAGCACCTGTTAGGACAAGTGATCTGTTACAAGTTGAAGGGGCTAGAAGAGCTGGGGGCAGACTGAAAAGGACTTGGGTGGAAGTAATAAGAAATTATTTAAGCATCCATAATTTAACCTTGATGATGATGTGATGATTCAGAACAGAATGGCGAAACATGATTCATATAGCTAATCTTATATAGGGACAAGGCTTAGATGATGATTCAGCACACTACCACAATTGTTGGTTGGTCCACCTAGATGACAATAGGTGTGCCACAATGGCCTTCTTCCTCTACTTCTTAAAGAAGTACTTTGGCATCCCATTCTTGGAGAGATAAAGGGAAGCATTTTCACCACCTCAAACATGTCATTCTCACTTGAGAAAATTGGACTTCTATTGTAATGCCATCTCCCTCCAATCTTGCCACAAAATATGCAATTAGTGTTGCTCTCCTCATTGACAAAATATATCTGGTGCACCGTGCATGTTTCAGTATCAAAGTCAATGTCATTTAACTTAGTTGGAAAGACATAAATGGAAAACTCACCTCTGAAGCCTTAACAGTGTATCTAACGTTTGAAGATTCATTTTGCTATCTATCGCAACCTCCCGGATAAGTGCCTATCTGTTAACAAGGGTAACTCCTCAAAACCCAAGGGCAAGTCATCCAAGTTCAAATAAAAAATATCCTTCTAAAATCCTATAAGTGATACAATAATCTTGTTTTGTTAACCACAAAAATGAAACCCTGGATGTTTTTGAACTTTTTGTCATGGTTTCAGATGAAACTATAAAAGCCATTACCCTATGTTGGTCCAGATTTCTGGGGTCTTAGGAGGATACAGACCTAACCTTTGGCACACAAAGCGGCTGCTCTCAGACTTGAACAGGTGTGCAGCTTATATAATAAGAAAGAAAATACATTTAGATCAGAACATTTAGAAACAATAGCAAATTCAAATAAAATGCAATCATTGTGTATTACTGAATGAACTATGGTTTTGGTAAAAAAAGCAATATGGAATGAAACTTACATCAAAAGTCAAAATAATTCTCAGATAAAGCAAATAATGCAGTTTATAACTGATTTGGATTTAACATCTACATAAAATTACCAAGATTAATGAACTTTAAGATATGCATAATATCCTGTTCTTAAGTGGGTCACACACAGGGTAAAGAAGGCCTGACCAGGTATTGCTGCTGCGGGGCTTTACTGGTAATTTTAACTACACCATGAAACAAAAGATCTGGACACTAGAAAGTTTCATTTTCTGTCTGCACCAGTCAATTGTAGTTGAAAATAGGAGATGAACCAAAGTACTAGTGTTTTCAAGTGGAGGTATCCAACACTATTGATTGGCATATTCAAATATTCTAATTGGGTTTTATATTTAAATACCTTGTGTGTGCTGATCCTTCACGTTGGATCATCCGGACAGATGATAAGCCATCTATCCTAACTAAAATATTTATTATCAAGTTACACTAAAAATATTTTTTGTTTCCCATCCTTATGATTTCTGGAAATTTTATACTCTCTTTGGACTATTGAGGTTTGGTCATTTCTGCAGATATAATGATTGTTTTGCTCCTGACTGGCCTGTTAAGTTCACAGGAGAACTTCAAATTTCTGTACTAGAAAGGAGATAAAAGGCTGACCCTTGTTGACTTTGTTTCTGTTTATGTATTTTTTAATTTGTTGTTCTATAGACTGGCACAGTTGACTTCTTTTGTGTCTATGTTTCTTACAATATTTTCTAAACCATTTTAACCAGTGAAATACACACCTCAATGGCACTGGCTGAGAGAAGAACTAAAAAGAGTGGACAGAGAGAAGACACCTTGGCTTATTGTTGTTATGCATGTTCCCATATACAACAGTAATGAAGCCCACTTCATGGAAGGTGAAAGTATGCGACCAGTATTTGAGAAGTGGTTTATCCATTACAAAGTTGATCTCATCTTTGCAGGCCATGTTCATGCTTATGAAAGATCAGTATGGCTCTTCACTTGCACTTTCTTTTTGAATGGTCAAGGTCTCAGGATAAAATTATATTGCATAAAAAATAATAGTAGCTAAGAACTTCCTATATTCATGGTTACTACCCTTCACAGAAGGGATTGTGGTTTGTTTAGACAAGATTCTTCTTTGTCTGCCAAATGAAGGACTAATTTGATCAGTCCAGATCATTTATCTAATGAACTATTCTCTATTTGGCTGCTTGAATGGCAACATTTCAAGCTCTTGCCTTGCCATCTCATGAATGATACTTTAGTCAATTGTAAGGTTGTGATTTTCAAATTTTTAAAATAATAAGGGTAAATTTGTTTAATGTAAGGTAGATGGAAAAAGGAATAAGCTCAGCATGGTAAAGGGACAGGTGTAGTAGACCAACATGTGCAAAATCTATGCATCTATGAACTTAGTAATATATAAGAAGAAAAATCATATGTTCAACCATTAGGTCCAGAAATCCAGAAAGAATTATCTATTTTCTGTTTATGACTGGAGATCGATTTTATCTGCAAAGATCAAGGTGTTACATTCATACATGTCAAGGATTTAGGACCCACTATTTGTTGATTCTAAGTTCCAACAAGTTAGGGGCCATTACTTGGTATAATGGTAAAATCTCAGGCTGGCAAGCACAAGAACTCTGGTTTGAGTCTGAAAGCGGTCACTTTGTGTAAAAAAAATGCGATAGCCTAAAGGTTAGGACTGTATCCAGTCTACCCCTCCCAAGTGACCACTGGTTCCATTCAATGGACTTTACTAGGTCTCTTGAATAGTTCTCACTATCAACAGAAAAAAAAAAAGAAAGAAAGAAATTGACAGGTGAAATAGTTATGACCATTCTTTTAATAAGGTTACAGTTATCTATCAAAAAATAAAAAAAAGTTATAACCATTTAATTTGGTTCGTTTTGGAAAAGAGATATCATAGATGAGATGCTTCCCAACTCAAACCTTGTATTTGGACATCCGTAGTTGCGATGTTTGTATTGTGAATTAATGGTCTATGATGCTCTAGGCTTTAGGTTTCTCTCAATACGCGAATTGGCTACAAAACTCCTCAGATTCTGACTGGATCAGATGGTCCCATCTGTCCTGGCAGAATAGATTCCACCTAGATGCAAGTTGGATTCAATGTTTAAACAGCAATTTCTTGGAATGAGTATGGTTGCTAGTCTTTGAATTCACCTTGAATTTTTCCCTTACTGAGATGATTCTCCAGAACTTAGGCTTGAAATAATCTTGTGGCGTTCATAAAAGGTGTAGTTTCCTTCATTTTCACTTGAATTGAAAAGGGAATCATGAGGATGGATTGGTTCTATAAATACCACAGTAATCACAGAGATTACTGTGCAAGAAAAACTCGAGGGTTTCTCTTAAACTATCCCAATTCCTTTTCCTTATCATTGAATTGTAATCACAGAGATTACCCCTATACCCTCTTCAATTACAAAGACACAAATCTGCTCACTGTTTTTCAGTTACATGATTCTCCTCATTAATTGTTTTGGACTCTCATAAAGGGAAATGTTGTTAATTTTCAGTATCGTATCTCCAATATACACTACAATGTATCAAGTGGTGATCGTTACCCTATACCTGACAAATCAGCTCCTGTATACATCACTGTTGGAGATGGAGGAAATCAGGAAGGTCTTGCTGGAAGGTAAAGTTCAATTGCCTGATTAAATGATTCTAACCAATAAAGTGGTTTAATCCATTCTATTGTATGCCTTCTTAACAGGACACATAATCTTTCTTGTGTAACACATTAACTGTCATGTTTCATGTGGGTTTCCTCTGATTTTATAGGTTCAGGGACCCACAACCAGATTATTCTGCATTTAGGGAAGCCAGTTATGGACATTCTACCTTGGAGATAATGAATAGAACACATGCATTCTACCATTGGAACCGCAATGATGATGGGAAAAAGGTGGCAACTGATTCTGTCATATTCAACAATCAGTACTGGTGAGTAAAATATGTAATCTTCCATTCTTGTGCACACAGGCAAAAATGCACATCTTGGGGTTTATGCTGCATTGAATGTGTTGCTCAATAAGATTTGGTGTGAACAATGATCCTATTTTATTTACTGGTCTGTGTTAAAATAGAAGGGTTAAAACATAAAAATATCCAAGAAACATGATAAAGTATACTGCTAATTAGTTCCAATTCAAATAGAAAAACATTCTATTTTATTTAATGTTATGCATATTATGATTATCAAATAATTAAAATAATATATAATATTTCATGAAAATAGAAAAATGTACAAGGATCAAAATATTGATACAGACTGATACTCAAAATTGGGTATTGGTGTATTGATAATGATTGATACTAAGCCCTTTTTTGGTTTTTTTTTTTTTTTTTTTTTTTTTTTTTGATTTTAACAGACTGAGAGGGATCAGGGCAGCCTTCCCAAACTTGAAAACCCCCATACCTCTCTTGATTCGGTGTATCCATGTGTCTCCATGGTCACTGATACAGATAAGGGGCGTATCGTATCAATACTTTGATCCTTAGAATGGGCATTTTGTAATAACATTTCCAAGTTCAATTAGAACCAGGATGTCCTTGGTAATGAATCAAACTTAGCCCCGGGTTTCCTCACAATATGATTGATTTTTTACCACATTCCTGCAGTGATTTAAAAGGCACTCCTAGGTGCACAGGCGAGGCACATTTTAGGGTATGTGCCTCGCCTAGGTCCCAGGTGCAGCGCTTTCAAAAGGCACGTACCTGGTGCGCCTTGCGCTTCAGACCAGGTGCATGCCTTTTGAAAATCTGTGCATTTTTTCTGTTTTTTTTTTCTATGCTTAGCAGCTGGGCCGGGGGTTTTGCCCCCGGACCCCCAACCAAGCCTCTCGAGGCAAGCTCAAACAAGTCCGTATCAGGGTCTTAAATCCTTAATCCCTATAAAAGAGGTTTTATAGCCTTCCCTATAAAAGAGGTTTTATAACTTCAAGTGTGTTAAAGTTAATATGGGTTTTTGGAGCCCAAACAAGTCCATACCAGTCACATTTGTAAAGTCAAATATCTTATCATCAGAGTAACCTGCCTGATATTTTATTTGTTTTACTAGAAAAATCCTGGGACACCTAAAAATTTAAAATAGGAGAATTTATGTGATAGGATCTAGAAAATCTAAACATTTTAACTTATTGAAGTATCGAAGTTTCTTTATAATTGGGGATATATAATTTTTTTTCTTTTTGAGCAAAAATTTATCTATTTCTTGAAATGTATGGTCATTATCTGAAACTCCACTTTAGTTTTTCTAACAAAAATACCCTTGTTTTATTTCTCTTATTTCATGTTCACTCATCTCACACCCACAAAAAGTTTGGTTCAAAGGATAAATTTTGAGAGGGGTATCATTGTGATCTTGAAAACACTGTTCATTTTCTAATAGAAAATGTCTAGCATAGGGGTCTCTAGAGGTATCAAAAAGTCAAGGGAAGTTTAAGAGAGTAAGAAAAATGAAGAGGAGTTTCAAATAACTACCCTAAAATGTTTTAGTTTCCTACAGCAAACTATACCCCTGTTGAATAACTACCCTGGTTGGTTGTAGTGGACATTTGGGATTTTTTTTTTTTTTTTTTTTTGGGGGGGGGGGGGTATGGGGTACAGGAGACCCCTGTTGTGTAACCCCATGAAAAAAAAAAAGTCCAATAGGTAGGGGGCATTCTGGATCAGATACATGTTCACTCTCGTTGTCCACATTAGCCCTATACCCCACCTTGTATTGAAGTTTTACTTGAGTTAAATTTCCAATCCTGAAAAGAAGGTTTACTTGGGAAACACAGCAAGGTTTCTGGGTTGAAAGTGATGCCATGAGTAAAGGGTGGAGAGAGTCTAATGGCCTTTTTTTCCAACTAGCCTATCTTATTTCCCAATGGAGGTTCGTTGAGTTCTGGGCCTTGATTCCTAAATCTCCTGGCATGCTCTCAGACCACATGCATTGCAAAGAGGGCCTGGTGCTTCCATCTTCCATCTAGATGCAAATGGTATCTTTTGTCTTACTCAAGAGTGTCATATAGGTTAAGATTACACATATATGAACTATTTATCTTAAGATAATATATTACCTGCCTAACATGCATGCAAATAGCTCATAGTCATGTACCTTGGGCTTTTCCTCCAGGGACTGTTCATGCTCACAACATTAGAAGCCGGTTTGGGAGGGCTGAGCTAAAGATGCAGCTAAGCTGGTTCAGTTGCTTTGAAGTGCTTCAGATAAGCCACTCAAAGAGGCTGAAGCAGACAACCCTTTGAAATGACTGATGGCTAATTTGGACTCTCCAGATTTTTCACCAAATATAGCTTATATGATGCCTGTGAGGGGCTCACCTTGGAGAGCCAGAAGCCGCTGCACTTCAGCCCTTCCAAAAAGGCACTTAATATTTCAACCTCTGTTTGCAGTAAGCATAACTTTGATATGATCCGAGTGAGAAAAACGGCCATTACGTCTAGTCAATATGGACTAAACGGCAAGAAAGCATGGCATGAAACATTGAATCATGCATAGTGCAGCATTGTGGATATCCTTAGTTTTCTGTATATTGGAATATGACCAGCATAATGAGGTCTGATCATGCAGGGCAAGCAATCTGCAGCGGAGGAAACTGAAGAAGCATCAATTCATGAATGTTGTTAGCCATGCAACTTACTAATGGGATTTTTCAGGTTGTTTCTTATTCGTCATATGTTAAAAAGAGGGAAATAGCTGTTGGAATTGAAAACGTTCCTAAGTTTGCAGAAATAAATGTTTAAGTGCTGTTCAGTTTGTAGTTTATTTCAACCAGAGAGCTTGACATGCATAGAGAGTGGGCTTCTATTTAATGATCAATCGACTAAAATCCTTGCCATAATACGCTTGCCTTCAGGCAGTTGGGACTTGGGACCCTGGTAATTTGCTATAGTTTACATGTTTGAAGGATCAAAACTATCAAATATCAATACACCACTCCCATCAAATAGGTTACCCATGTCAAAATCAACTTGAACAAATCAGTACTTCACTTGACCTACGCTTTTTCTTTGGAAAATATCAGTCCCCTGAGTGTGGGAATGAAACAATGTTTTTGTCATGAAAAGGCAGAAAAATAGTTGAAAATTTTCATCTTGCAATTCTTTCTGTCCATTCTTAAATTGAAAGAAGTTTGGAGCTTCTAGGCCAATTTTCATCCTACCCATAATTCCCACCAAGGCGTAATTCTAACCAGACCCCATGGCTTAGTATTTTTTCTGTCACTTTATGATGATTCTAATTTCTAACTTTTATAAGGGGGAATGGTTATTGCTCCTTTTCTGGTTAATCTCTTCAGCACTGTGTATGGGTGTAAAACAAATTCTTAGGTCATGTTTGGTACTGTCAGTGTTTTTTCAAGAAATGCTTTTCTGGTTTACATGTCTATTATTTTATTATTTATTCAAGCCAGTTAGGTGCCCATAGACAAAAAAGGTAAAAAACGGTGGTATCATTGCAAGAAACAGTAAAATGATTTTTCTTACGATGATGCTTTTACATAAACTGCCATTTTTTAAGGCACTCATACAGTCTACGGGTCCACATAAATTGACCCTTATATGTCAAACCCGTAAAATTATATGGGCCATTAAATTAAACTTGAATCATTTATTACTTTAATTTAATCATTCTTATTATTATTATTACTAATTTATTTTAGTATTTAATTTATTTTTTTTGTTATATAGTAATAATATTAACTAAATTTAAAATTATTTAAATATTTATTTAAAATATTTTTTCCAACCGACTATAATTATTATATAGTAGATTTGTTAATTCATATTTTGCATTTAAGAATAAGCATTAATGATTTGGCTTAACAATTTTAATGACTGTTAATAAATATTGATTCTTATTCAAGGTTTAATTACTGTATTCAATAATTATTATGGGGCATGCTTTGAATAAACATTAATGATAATTGATGATTGTTATTTCGTTTTTTATTATTTACTTAATTAAGTACTTGGTGATTATTATTATTATTATTAATTATTTTTATAAATAATTGATTGCTATTATTATTTACTTAGTTCAGTAATTTTCAGTAAGTAATTATTTGATTCAATTTAAATTATTTCATTTTTTAATTATTTACAATAGACATTTAGGGTAGTCTATTTATTTTATTTAAGAGACTTACCATGTTTTATCTAGACAATGACTCCATACTAAGTAAGGGGCAACTACAATATCATTTAATTTGAACTTTACTATTTAACAATAAAAAATTAATGTGCTGTTGAGCAACCCACCCCCAAAAAAGTATCAATAATTTTGAAATCATTAATCTATTTATAAAATAGTAAAATTAGATGGATGTTTACAACAATATCACCAATAATGCTTAATATTTAGGGACGTATGAATGGATAAAAAGCATTTAAATGATATCCACTCAAAGAGGCAAAGAAGGAAGAAAATCATTCAAAGAGCTGCTAAGAAAAACAATCCATGCCAAACAACATTTATAGATGCATCCATCATCTGAAGTAAGAGATGAAAAATATATGACTACAATCAAATCATGCATAGCTACAGTCAACTGATAATTTAATTAGAACTCCAAAGCCCATTCAATAGAGGAAACGTGAAAGAAAGGAGAATAATGAGACCATCCTAAGTATGGAAGTCACCTCCAAGTAAGGTGGCAATGCTTCTTTGTCGATCATGGTTATGGATTTTAAGTCTAAGCTCCCCATAGTGCACGTAGATTGGCTAAAATTTATCTTTAGGAAAAAAGTAGGGAAACATGTACGTAACATAATGGTATGTTTGAATTATGCGAATTGGGAGATAAAAATAGGAAATGTAGGTTGAAATTATAATTTTGGGCATGTTGATGTGTAAAATTCAAGTCAATTAGAATACTCATAGATTTTTAGTTCATTCATTTAGTAGCAATTTGAATATTTTTTTATTCCATGTCTTTATTGAGTAATAAAGATTAATAATCTATTAATAATTATGAAATCAGTAATAATAATAAGTATATAATTATTACTATGATTTACTAATAAAATATTCTTATTATGTGTGTATTAATTTTGAAATCAGTAATGTTAAACTATTATTATTATTATTAAATAATTAATTTTTTATAATTATAATTTTTAGTTAATTCCTGAAATAATAATAGCTTTTATACTTTTTAGTTTAACAATAATGGATAATTGAAAGTTTATAATTTAACTTTAACCAAATGAAATATTTATTGGAGATAAATAATGGTGTTAATTATGATTACTTATAATAATAATAATAATAATAATAATAATAATAATAATAATAATAAGTAACACTAATTATATATTTATAAAATAATTAATATGAGTTAACATAAATATAAAATGAATTTATCCCAATTAATAAGTAACATTATTAAAATACTTATTAATTAACATTTCGAAGTAATAATTATCATTGTTATATTAAAGAATTAATTATCAGTAAGTAATTATAATCAGTAATTAAATTTTATCAGAAATCATTATTACTAGTAATAAATAATTATAATTATTGATAATAATAATATAAATATATAATTATATTAATTAATATAAGTATTAATTATAATTACTGATAATAATAATAATATAATTAATTATTTCATATAAATGTATGAATTATAATTTCTGATAATAATTCTTATATAAATAATTAACATTAAATATTTATTTTCAAAATAATTATTATGAGTTAATATAAATATAAAATGATTATTTTTGAATTATTAATTACCATTATGAAAATCGTTATTAATTATCATTCCGAATTAATAATGAGAAGTATTATTAGTAATTATTTAATATCAGTAATTAAGTATTAGCAGTAATTATTATCAGTAATTAATTATTATCAGTGAGTTATTATTATTAGTAATTAATAGCTGAAATTAATTAATTGGAAGTCATTAATTATTATTATTACTCCTTTCTTTCAAAAAGTTGACTCATCATCATCGTCATCATCAATGACAACAACTTGATAAATATATAATTTAATAAAAATAGGTAAATATCATTAATTTATTTTTTCATCTTTTGAAAAACTGAATAAGAGAAAAATAAAATGGTTAGCATTGCAAATGAAAAATTATTTGGATTTTTGTAGAAAAAATTATTGAACATAAAAAACCAATTATTCAAAAATAAGATCGTTAATCATAGAGTATTTAAAATTATTCAATAAATAATAATTTTAAGAAATTAAAATTATTAATTAATTATCTATCTGAATTAAAATGGGTAATTTAAGCAAATAGTTTTAAGTAATTAAATTTTTCTATTAACATTTTTTAATAATAACCAGTATTATTAATAGATTAATAATATAGTAATAATTATGAATTCAGTAACAATAATAAGTATATTATTATTATTAACTAATAATATATTCTTATTATGTATGTATTGATTTTGAAATCAGTAATATTAAAGTATTCTTATTATTATTACTATTGTTATTATTTTATTTTATTTATTAAGTAATTAATTTTTTATAAATACGATTTTTAGTTAATTCGTAAAATAATAATAATAATAATAATGTAAATAAGTAACACTAATTATATATTTATAAAATAATTAATATGAATTAATATTAATAAAAGATTATATACCAATTAATAATTAACATTATTAAAAAACTTATTAATTATCATTAATTAATTAACATTTCGAAGTAATAATTATCATACTTAGTATTAGTAATAATTAATTATAATTATTGATAATAACAATAATATAATTATATTAACTAATATAATATTATTAATTATAATTACTTATAATAATATAATTAATTATTTCATATAAATCTATGAATTATAATTTTTGATAATAATTATAATATAAATAATTAACATTAAATATTTATTTTCAAAATAATCAATATGAGTTAATATAAATATAAAATGATTATTTCTGAATTATTAATTATCATTATGAAAATATTTATTAATTATCATTAATTAATCATCATTTCGAATTAATAATGAGCAATATTGTGAGTAATAAATTATTAGCAGTAATTATTATAAGAAATAATTTTCAGTAATTAATTATTATTAGTAATTAATAGCTGAAATTAATTAATTAGAAGTAATTAACAATAATTATTATTAGTAATTAATAGCTGAAATTAATTAATTAGAAGTAGTTAAGAGTAATTATTATTAGAACCAATGGCTGAAATTAATTAATTAGTGTAGTAGTTAACATCAATTAATAAAATTGTTTCCTTTTTTTTAGGAAATGATTGAAAGTGGGAGCTTCCCACTTCTCACAACTTTGCATGTGGTAGACTCCACTCTCCATGTTAGTGGGCTCTTTTCTTGAACTACCACTAATCAGAATTTGACACATGTCTAGTGGATTCTGTTCTTGAACTACCACTAATCAAAATTTGACACGTGTCCATTTTCTTTAAATCTTTGGAATGACATGTGTCTGAATGTAAATGAGTCACATGTTTGACTGTTGGGGGCTTTGGCCTGAAATCATTACTTTAATATATATATTAGATATCTCAACCGAACAAAAAAGTAAGGTGGCATGCCTATTTGGTGTCGATGTGGAGCATTTACAAAAACTAAATGCCCACAGTTCAGCAAATTTAGTCATTCAAATGCCCACAATACCAGAAACCTACTTATTTAAAGTTTTTTAAACCGAAAAAGAAGCATCTGAACTATATCCACAGGTGTGTAGAGCTGAGTACTGATTACGGACCCATTTGTGATTCTCCAAACATATAACAGACAGTCATTTATGGGGATGTTAGATTCAGGGATGGCAACGGGGCAGGTTTAGGGAAGATTTTGTAAATTCAAGACTC